GCAGTCTGACGATTTTGCCCAGCGACGTTCCACTGTCGCTGGTCAGAGGGAAACTGAAAATCCTTTTTTAGATTTTCGCTGTCCCCAAAGACAGTCATGTGGGTTCCCTTCGTCCTTGACCGGGTATGCAGGAGGATGGGGCAAAATCACGCAGTGTTTGTGTGATGGCCAAAAAGTTCAATCCCGCTTAGTATGTTCTGATCACGAATGAATCACAGACCCTGATGGTGCCTGGAATTCACTCATGGTCAAACGCCTGATAAGCTGCGAAATCTTGGAACCAGGTCATTCTCGCGTCGGGTCACTTCAAAGTTCACGGGCCCTTGGCTTGTGGGTGGAAGTGTAGATAAAGAGGGAAAGAATTTATGAAGAGAAGAGGAGGGTATGGCTGATCATAGAACATATTCGCTTGCAAGTCGAAAGCATTGGATTAAATTTCTATTTTTATTTATTTATTTTTTTTATATCTAACTAATTTTCTCTTTATTTAAGATTTTACTTTGGGGTACTTTTTTAGCCTAACGCCTATATGGTTAATGAAATCGTGGCTACGTGACAATATATATATATATATATATATATATATATATATATATATATATATATATATATATTAAAAAGAAGAGGGTGCCGCAAACGTTTTTGGTTGTAATGTGGATTTATTGAGAAAAAATATTATACTTTTGTTTTACATAATTTCACGACACGTGTTTCTGGTCTGGTCTCGCAACCGTCTTCAGGTGAAAGTGGAGATTTTTACATATTATTAAAAATAATTAATTTTTCTTCATGTTCAATGTGGAATATTCTTGATATGAGACATTCTGTTTGTGTGTTGGCAATCCGAATTTTCTTTCTAGAATTGTCTACAGAACGGCATTCCCTGCTGTCTCCAGTTTTGTTTTCTTGTTCGTGGGGAAATTGTTCACAATTCACTGCTTATCATATCGCAATAGGAACTCTTTATACGGTTTAAAATAGAGACACATTGGAGATGTTTAACACTTTGCCCAGAGTTAAAGCCAAACCATATATGATTTTCTACTGTTAGCATGTAAAATCCGAGCCTTGGTTGGACGGGGAGACCAATCGATTCATACTTTTCCCAATGTGAAGATAAGCAACCACAGTGAAATCTTTATTTTCTCTAATCATTTCATTCTAAGCAAAGCAATTATGGAGGTTAAGGAGTTGTTCGTTTGTTTATAGAAAAAAACAGAAGGAAGCCATGCCATACCGTTTAAGAAATTGACTGAAGTAAGGGCCCTTCTTTAGATTTTAGTCTCCAGGTATATAGCATGAACAGCAGATCAGATATGTCAGGAATATTCAAGGCATTGACGAATGGTACAGATATAAATGTGTAAGATGGATTCTGATGAGAAGAATTGTCTGGCAAGACACAGTGAACCAACTTTCCTAGTTGCAGCCCTAGCAACTGATTCAATATAATCGATCCACTTCGTGTCAGTGGAAAACGTGAGACCAAGAAGGTGCAACTAACCTGAAGGTCTGTATCAGTCATGCTTTTCTATGACGATTAAAAGAGAACAGTTTCGATCTGGGGCGTTAAAATTAACAAGACATTTTTTCCCTAATTAACAACAAATTGTAGATTATTTTTTAGATCAGTTATAATCTTATCCACCATCATGTGTTTATCCCTGTAGTGGACATTGTATCATTTTTAAGCCCTGCGGCCCTGTTCCCACAGACAAAATATCTGTTGTTAACTGGGGCAAAACATGGCTTGTTAATTTTAACAGCTCCAAAACTAAACTTCTCTGCATTAATCATCTGAGAGACCCGTCTCTGCCTTCCATCAGTATGGCTGATGCTAACCTCCAGGAAAATGTCGTGTTCTCGGGCTAATATTCTCAGCTCACATAAAGTGGATAAACTTTATTGAATTAATTGCTAGGTCAGCTACTAAAAAGTCAGTTCACTGTGTCGTACAAGACGATTTTTCTCTCCAGAATCTATCGTACATACATAAGTCTACCATTCGTCCATCCTTAAAATATTGTTGCCTTATATGATCCGGTGCCCCTGCTATTTACCTTGAGCTCCTTGATAAAAATCCAAAGAAAAATCAGCAATATTATTGGTCCTGATCTGGCGGCTCGGCTTCAGTTGCTTCACCCCTTCCGCCGTAAAGTTACCACCCTGTGTCTTTTATATAAATATATTCATGGTACCTAGACTTTTTGAATTGAAGTGCAGTACTAGACTGGCATCAAGATCTCATCAATGTACAGTTGAACTGGCTAGATGTAACCGTAACTTCTATGCTAACAGTTCATTTTCTCGCACTTCTCCCTTGTGGAACTCCCTTCTGGTTCCATGCTTTCTAGCCAACTTTAATCTGCAAAAATTTAAATGCAATGTCTATCGCCATCCTCCTGATTATTCTTCTTTTGTTCTCATTCATTAGTAATGTTTCTGTTTCTAATTCTTCTACACCCAGTAACCCCTCGTGTCTTAGTGGCTTTATTGCCTTGCTTGAGGTAAAATCGATTAAAAAAAAAAGAGAAACTGGCAAATATTTGCACGAACTCAGTCACTTATGTGCCATGCGTGACACACGCTTAGGCGATCATGTATTTTTCGATACATGACTGACGAGGCAGATTTTTTCCCGTAGTAAGTTGCCATTTCTTTCTGCGGTAGACCATCCAAGTCTATAGAACCCGGTCTGTCCTGCTATTTACCTATAGCTAGGGGGCGAAGAAGAGGATTCATACCTTTCCCAAGGGTATTAGCACGTAAGTGAATGTAATGGATGTGACTGGAATTCGAACTCGGCTCTTCTCAATCTATTACTCCACCGTCCTTTACAGCTAGAACCTGTCTTGCTATGTACACAGATTCGAATCATCCTCATTCGCATTCCTATTCCATTTGTAAGGAAGAAGTTCCATTCAGGCAGCTTCTTCCCAAGAACTGCAACAGACTCCCGTGCAGATGCTTTCCCCATCACTACGATCTTAACTCTAGGGTCAACCGTTATCTAACCTACATATCCTCATATTCACATACTACTTCCTCCTTTAACGTCCATACAACAACCTCACTCAGTGAACTCTACCTTGAGTGGCTTATTGGGCTTAGCGTTGGGTCAACATTTAGTTAAAAAAAAAAAAGTGATAGATAAACAAAAGGAATCTGTGGAGAGCCATGATCGCCTCGTCCTGAGCAGACATAGCATTAAAAAATATTTGATGGAAAAAAGATTAATGTTGAAGAAAATCATAATGGTTTCGGCGACTGCCTTCTCCTTGAATTCTTTGGATTGAGAAAAAATACTGAGGAAATGCAAGTATGAAAGCAGAAGAGCAGAAGCCATAGTTGAAACTGATAACGTTTCTTGGCTTACGTCGTGAAATTGGCTGAAGTTACAGAAAAATGGCGTTTCATAATGTGTGCATTGAATAGTACCCGCTCAAAAGTTGGTCTTGTTTTTTCGGCTTCTCTTTAAAAATCTCCTATTTCTTTCAAATCTCTCTCTCTCTTGACTCTCTCTGTTTCTCTTCCCCGCCTCTCTACTCTCTCTCTCTCTCTTGACTCTCTCTGTTTCTCTTTCCCGCCTATCTACTCTAAATCTCTCTCTGTGAAAAGAAACTCTGTTTTTCTTTCCCGCCCATCTACAATCTCTCTCTTGAATAAAATCTGTTTCTTTCCCCCCGCCTCTCTATTGAATATCTCTCCCTCTCTGCTTCGCGTACCTCCTTCTCTCTCTCCTTGATTCTCATTCTCTGCTACTCTTTGCTTTTTTTCTCTCTCCCCCGTTTCTCATTTGCCTTCCCCTTTGTTACTCTTTTGGCCTTCTCTCTTCTTCTACGTTTTTTCCGGTTCTTTTCTTGTCTCTCTTTCTCTGTCGTCTCTCTCTCTGTGTCGTCTCTCTCTCTCTCTCTCTGTCGTCTCTCTCTCTCTGTCGTCTCTCTCTCTCTGTCGTCTCTCTCTCTCTCTCTCTCCGTTTTTCTTTTATCTCTCTCTCTCTCCCTCAAGGAAAAATCAATTTTTCTTTGCCTCTTTTCGTTCTCTTCACATTTCTCTTTTTCCTCTCTCGTTTAAAACTCTCTGCTTCTCTTCTGCTTCCTCTCTCTGCTATTCTTTTGGCCTCTTTTCTTGTCTCTAAAAATACCTCTCTCTCTATATATATATATCTATCTCTTCTTGCTTCTCTTTGCCTGACTCTCTCTGCTTTTCTTTGCCTCACTCTCTGCTACCCTTTGAGTCTCTCTATCTCTCTGTCTCTGCTTCTCTTTGAGTCTCACTCTCATTCGGCTTCTCTTTGCCCCCCTCTCTCGCTGTCTTATTCTCTTTACGTCTCTCTCTGCTTCTCTTTTACCTTCTTCTTTCTGTTATTCTTTTGGTCCTCTTCTCATTTACTTCTAGGTTTTGTTTTTTCGTCTTCTCTCTCTCTGTGTCTCTCTCTCTGTGTCTCTCTCTCTCTCTCTCTCTCTCACACACACACACTCTTTCTCATTCTGTTTCTCTTTGCCTCTCACTCTCACTGCTTTTGTTTTCGCTTCTCTCTGCTTCTCTTTTGCCTTCCTTCTCTGGTACTCTTTTGGTTTTCTCTCTTCTCATATGCTTCTCAGATTCTGTTTCTGCCTTGTCTTTTGCCTCTCCACTTTCCATTTACCTTCTCCACTTTCTCCCTCTCTGTCTCTACTTTTCTTTTACCCTCTCTCTGCTTTTACTTCTCTATCCCTTTCCCTTTCCCTTTCTCTGCTTTCGTTTTGCCTCTCACTGTGCTTCTCCCCCGTTCCTCTCTCTCACTCTGCTTTCTACTTCTTTTGACACGCTCTCTCTGGCTGCCTTTCGTTTGCCTCTCTCACTCTTTTCCTTCCTTCTCTTTTGCTTCTCTTTATTTCTTTCTGCCTACTTCTGTTTTGTCGCTATGACACACACACACACACACACACACACACCGCAGTATTTCTCATTCTCCCGGTCTCTCTTTGGCCCACCCTGTTACTCTCCTCTTCACTGCTATGTTCTTTCTGCTTCTAACCAATGCCTTTTACCGCTTCATCACAATTAAGATATATTTGCCCAAATCACAAGCGAACAAATTATTCTTCCATCCTTTCTTATCGAATTCTTTTTCTTCCAAGTCGATCCATTTTCTTTCTCAACAGCAACAAACATTCCAAATTGCCAAAAGGAAACTACCAAACAAACAAACGCCAAGATTTGTGAACGCCATTGCGTTATTTCGATGCGACGGGTTGGGAAAGGAACAGAGGAAAGATTTTTTTTTTTTTTTTTTTGCGGGTATTTCTTCCCTAAAATGCATTTCGAATAAATGGTTTCCAATGTTATTTTGCAATTCTTCCTTTTTCATATTAATTATTGATTAATTTGTTTTTTTTATGGCTTATCAACCTTTTGCAAGTTATTTAAAACCGAAACATATTTGGGGATTGTAAGAATAATTCTTCTTTTTTTTGCGAGTGTATTAACAATTTCTTACAGATAATAATGATTCTCAGGTACTATTTTAACCTATTGAGCACTTCGCTGTTATGGCCAGCAAGCTTGGTTTGGTTTGATTTGGTTTGTTTTACGACATATTAACCTCAATGAGTTATTTAATGCCGACAAGATTTTTGTTGTGTTTTCTTCAAAAATGTATTGCTGATAATATTTTTTCTTCAAAAAAAGTATTGCTGGTAATAATGTATTGCTGTTGATATTATTTTCCTCAAAAATTTGTTGATGGTAATTTTTTACGAAAATATATGGCTGGTATTAAAACCTATTTTTACACTTTCATAGTGTTTTGACTCAAAGTTTGGGGGTTAACTTTACCATAGGTGGGACCCTAACAGATGCTACCACCCCAGGTCAGGGTGGACCTGGGAACACCAGCAATTGTTCCACGCTCCTCAAAGCCTCCAGATCAGAGGCCTTGCAGTTGGATGTATGTTGTGTTGGAAACCTACCACCCCTCTTGAAGATGAACTTGTCTGCGTCTGCGAACAAAGACTTTAAATAGTGGCATGTCAGTTGACATGGGAAAAGACAGATAGACAGAGAAGTTCTTAGCTGAGCTAGTTATTGACTACTCAGGCGATTTCTGTACCTTTTTATCAACCTATTAAAACCCTTTTTATTGTTACGTGTTATTTGGCATTTGTCTCTACTAACCCCAAATCAACATCATACCAATGTAGTTTATCGTCTTACCCAGGGCGCGGAGGTAGCATATCGTCATACCTAGGGCGGAAGCAAGCTTGTCTCGCCATATCAGTTACGACTGAGTAGTGTGCTCGATTTTAAGTAGATGCTCTATACTTTCGGCCTTGTGACACATCTACGCTTAGAACATCAATTTGGTCACTTCGACGTCGTGTAATGGTTAGCAAGCTTGTCTTGCTAGATCATTTACGACGAAGTAGTGAGTTCTATCTTCACTGGGTACTCCATACTTTAGGCCTTGTGACACATCTAAACTACGCTTAGAAAACCACATTACTACTTTAACCCATAGATGGGGAGCAGAGTTGGATTCATACCTCTCCCAAGGTTATTTGCGCGTAAATGAATGTAATGACGTCGACTGGAATTCGACCTCAGCTTTCTGACTACTCATCCTGAGCTTTTATCCATTACACCACTTGCACATCCAAGCACCTGGTATTCTCAAGCGTTCACCCATCTAGGTACTGACCAGACTTGACGTTGCTTAACTTTGGTGATCGTAAGGGAAGATGCAAACGATTTCTTTATTATTTTTTTAAATTTCTGCCTTTCCATTCAAAGTAGTAGATTCATCATAATTGCTATAATCACAACGTTTCGACCGTTGTTTCCTTTAAACTTCTTCCGGTGTCTCTCATCATGCTTGTTAACCATTTCGAAACTTTGAACTGATGAGAATATTAATTTGAATAGAAAAATATATAATAATGATTCCTCATCTCAAAAAACAGGCTCGACTTTACTTAACATTGGTTATCATACAGGAACCAGTATTTCAACGTGATATGGCCGTAGGCTTTTCATGTTTTAAGGGTGGGAAGAGAAATTATCAAATTTAGCAAGATCTTATTAAACGGGAACGATAGCTAGTTCCACTTAAACGAGATAAACTGGCACCCCACAAATATTGGTTCCCATAAAAGTCTGTTTTAAGTGAATTTACATAAAAAGGACAATTTCATCTTTTTTGAAGGTGATTCTGTGCTTACACAATTGGCTCTATTAAGCGGATTCTCGTTGTAATCGATGCTCCATTTAACCAGAGTCGTAATCCTGTTGCTCAACTTGTATTTTAAAACACAATTAATGTAAATTTCACTTTAATCTAAATAATTGTTGCTAGAATCTAAATAATTGTTGCTAGAATCTAAATAATTGTTGCTAGAAGATGTCATCACGAGAGCTACACCCCTCCTCGTTTGTCTACAAAAGCAGTACAAGAAAAGCGGTTTGAATCATTTCATTCACCCCGTACTAATGCCCTTGGAAAAGACATGACTCCAACTTTGTTCAAAAGAAAGCGATATCTCTGTAACCAAAAATGCACAGTGGCTGAAATTCTTGATTCATTCACATGAATTAAGAATTTCAGCCGTTGTGCATTTTTTTTTTCGGGTCAACTTGTGGAGACAAATGGAAGATATGCGTTTCTATTAAATGACTATAGATTTCCACCCAAGGCTAAAGAGCCTCTCACTGTGCTTCTCCCCCGTTTCTCTCTCACTCTGCTTTCTACTTCTTTTGACACGCTCTCTCTGGCTATCTATCCATTAAATCAACAATTGGCTTCGATTTCAGAGTTATCCTTCTCCTAGTTTGGTTGCCTCTATAAATATATATTTTGTGTTTTTTGGCAGCTAATGTTTTTAAGACACGTTATTAAAGACTATTGATATTTTATGCCGATTAGTTTTATTGACTGACTTTTCCAAATTACGAATAATCCTTCTCAGATAAGGAGAAAATTCACCTTCACTGTCTCTCTCTCTCTCTCTCTCTCTCTCCCTTTCTTTCTGTCCATCTCTCTGCTTCTCTTTGGCCTCTCTCTACCTGCCCCTGTCTTTGGCCTATCTCTACCTCTCTGTGTCTCTCTCTCTGACTGTCTCTCTTTGACCTCACCCCCTCTTTTTTTGCTATTGTTACTCGCTCCGTCCACACCTCTTTCATTTTTCTCTCATTCTCACCCTCTCTTTGGTCTCTATATGATTCTCTCTGTCTCTTCATCTCTCTCTCACTGCCTTTCTTTTCTCTCTCTCTTCCTATCTGTTCCATCTCTCACTTTTATACCTCTTTTTTATCTTCATCTCTCTCTCTCTCACACACACACTTTCTCTCTCTCTCTCTCTCTCTCTAGCATCTTTCTCTCTGTGTCCCTCTATCTGCCTCTCTTTGGCCTCTTCCTACCTTTCATCTCTCTCTCTTTTTCATGCTTTAGGTTTGCTTTTTTCTACTCTGTTTGCAGCCTCTCTCTCTCTCTCTCTCTCTATCTATCTATCTATCTATCTTTACTTCTTCCTATCTCTCTCTCTGTGTCTCTTTTTGTCTATTGTCACTCCCTCCCTCCCTCCCCCTCTCTTTCAATTTTCTCTGTTTCTCTTCCTCTTTTGTGCTTTATGTGCATCACTCTCTCTTTCTCTCTCTCTTTCTCTCTCTGACTTTCTGACCTACGCTGTTTTTGTAGATTTCTGCTTTTGAATGATTAACCATTTTGTATCGCCTTCATCTCATTTAAATCGAATCGCATTCGTTCGTGACTATTTCAAAAATTCAGATTCTTTTATTGAAATTTCAAGCTATCCATGTTAATTGATTTCTATATTTGTTTTTGTTTCTTATGAATCTTCTTCCTGCTCTTGAATCGAAACAGATATTTCACAGCCAAAAATGAACACGTAAAACAGCAATTAACACCTTGGTTTTTTAAACCATTTACATTATTTGTACCTTAGAAATTGAAACTTTATGCTTTATTTTACTAAATAAAATTAAATTTATTTAATTCCCTGCCATTTGAGATATTTAAATCTTTCATGTTTTCAGAATTACCATTAGAAATTGCTATATAAAACTGCTTTATTTTGCTAAATAAAATTCAATTTTTATATTGAAAAACGAAAAATATTCTAATACCCTTCAGTACAGACTTGTTGTTCTCCCATATAGAGCCGTGTGATGCATTTGCACAACATGCTTATTTGTTTACTAAAAACATTTGTAATACTCAAAAATAACGTTGAGGAGTTATTTAATGTTTTAGAAAAGCAATGTACTACGATACAGAAATTGGGTTTTGCATTTTACAAATAGATATTTATAATTAAAGGTTCGCTAAAAAATAATTATAAAAGTAAGATTCGCTAAAAAAAAAAAAAAAAAAAAAGTATACCATGTTGAAAAATGCCCTAAACTTAATAAAAACAAAGTTTCATCGCCAAAATCTTTATTTTTTATTATTTTATCATATTTTTATACTTTTTAGAAACTTCAAAACGTTGTTTCATTTTTTTTTTTCTTACGTCAGCGGAGGAGGGGGACAATTTACTATAGGAAAGTTTAGTTTCTTTTTGCGGTAAAAAACACTGATTCAGAAATTTTTGCAAACATCAAATACATAATCGTCGGATTTTAATGAAACTTTCAGGGCTTATTCACAAAAGAATGAAATTATTTTAGAAATATTTTTTGTTAGAAAATCTTGGTATTTTTTTTCTTCTTACATCTACTACCTTCCACTTATTTAATTTTTTGAAATTTCGAGAAATTCATTTTGTTAGGGCTTAATGTTTACATTAGTTATAAGTACAAGTCCTTGAAGAATTTAAATCATCAACTTTTTGTGTGTGTGCGTGTAAAACAAGACCTCTAGTTACTGAAAATCTGATGTGAATCCTAAAATAAAAACTGCAATAAAATTAAGAGATTATTTTAAAATGAAGACATTATTTTATTCGAAAAGCCTTTAATGGCTTTTATGAATAAGATATATTATGGAGACTATTATCTTGAGAACATTTTTTTTCGATGAATAATGAATTTATACAAGAATATTTTTCCATTTTTTAAAAATTTTAATTAGAAAATTTATATAGTTTTAAATCTTTTAAAATTCAGTATTAATTTGTACCGGTTATCGTTATTAAGGAAAATCTATAGTTGCTAATTATAAATGGAAAGCGACACCCCAATATTTTATATAAACGTGACGATTTTTGTAAATACGGTCGACCATAAACGAACAGGGATCCCCCTCTCTAGTGCAATGAGAGGGTGCAGTCTCGGGCAGCTATTTCTCAGGGCCGGGTACCTCAAATTATCATTTTTTTTTAGTTGTGACTCTGTCCGCAGACAGAAGCCACAACTAATAATAATCCACCCACGGCATTGGTCCCATGACTCCAACTGAGTTGTTAAACGTGGTGTACACGAGCGCATACACTCGGGTCACTGATCAATTGTTACCCAGCACCCGTTTGCGCGAGATCGGATACTGGTCATGGCCTCGAATCAATACACACATACTACACTATGATCTCTATTTAAAAGAGATTTTTTTTTAAAATGAGGGTGTACTGACAGATTGCGATAGTCTGAATGACGCAAAAGGGAAAATAACACTGACATCTCATTTTAACAGATATATTTACCAAAATTATACAAAAATATCTTCAAATACTAAAGAGTAAATTTATTCAATAAAATCAACATTGGCTTCAACCAGGGCTTCCAGGCGACTTCAGAATCTCCTGCAACTCTTCTGGACGGTCTCCTTGTTTAAGTTGGTGAATGCTGCCATGATCCTTGCTTTCACTTCATCTTTCGTCTTACAAAGAGTTTTGTTTGTCTCTTGCTCAACTGCGCCCCACAAATAATAATCAAGGAGGTTGCAGTCTGCGGAGTTAGGTGGCCAGATGTAAAGGGTGATGTGTCTGACAGCCATGAGAGGGTATTCATACTAGTGTGGCATAGTGCAAAGTCCTGGTCCATTAGCCACCGCTTTGACCCAGGGCAGCACTATCTCTTCAATATAATTGATGTGGATCTCCTTGTTGAGTATGAGACCCCGTGGGAAGATGAATGGAGGCATAACGTCGCCATCACTCGTGATTACTCCAAACACCATTAAATTCATCCAACTCTTTCAGGAGCCTCTGCATTGTTCTCAGATTGACGTCCAATTCTCTGAAATACGAATGCCAAGTAGTACAGCATGCCGTTTCCAAATTTCTGGCGGAATGAATTGCGTCATGTTACTCTTTTTCTCGCAGACGGTGCCCAACTGACCCTACTATACTGTGGAGTCGACAAAATCAAAAAAGAAACAACGCGCATGCGTGAAATTAAAAATATAAAATGGCGACAATTTACCCATCTTACCCTGTATATGTACCTTTACCTGTTCAACAAGATCAATTTTGACCTAAGGTCTTTGCCCATGAGAAGTAAAGTCCCAGTCAGGCTGTGTGATTAAATTGCTCCATGGCATACGCATTATGTAGCTATTTACAAACTTTTTACTATTTTGGTACAAGTCCTCAGGCGGACATTCAGTGAGTGAGGATCAAACTCACCATCCTCTAATCCTAACATCTGGCTTCATCCTACACGAGTCGTACACCAATATATACGGTGCGACAAAAGTACCTTTTTATTCATTAACTTTTATTGAACAAAAATAAATGACAATAGTTTAAGAAAATTTATAAGTATTGACACATCAAAATGAACATGATTTGTTATATTAAAAAAGTATTTAACGCGTTCAAAATACACCCCCCCTTTATGTTCAAGACAATGCTGAACCCTATCAGCAACAATTCTAGAAACTATTTCTACATTAATTTCTGAAATTCTATTAGAAATTGCTTGTTTTGATTCAGGAATTGTTCTCGGTTTACAAGAAAAGGGCTTGATGTTTGCTAGGACTTGTGATCGTGATGGTCGCTCAATTGCTCCACGTCGTCCAATCGACCTCAGATCGAAACTAAGATTTAATCATTCCCGTAAACTAGCGTGGCGTTACTTTTTTCCTATATATTATCGTGTTTCTTACACTAAACCGGATGTTGACTGCTCGACGACCCAAGGCAGAATGCGAAAACGCGTCTCTGCGCATCATGGCTCGACGCATTTTTCGGTATTAAATGATAAAATGAACTTTATATATTGACTAGTAGCAATAAATCTCGCTAAAAGACACAGACTGTGATTTGGAGCCGATACGACGGATATAAATTCCTTGATTCAACGCCTCAGAAGAGAGAGAGAGAGAGAGAGAGAGAGAGAGAGAGATCCGGTTGAGATGTCAACACGCAGAGGTTGGTCAAGAAAGCTGCACGCAGACTGAGACTGAAAGCGATACCTTTCAACTTTCATCTTTCGCCGCCACCGTTTTCACAAATCAGCCGACAGCCATGACCAACATTCTTTCTCTTTCTTTCTTTCTTTCTTTCTTTCTTTCTTTCTTTCTTTCTTTCTTCCCTATTCTTTTACAACAGCAACTAGTGTGCTGGCTTTGTATATATCTAAATAAATTATACATTTATTTTTGTCCAAAATACAACGTATTTTTTTTTCCTCGAATTTACGTTTGATGAGGCCAAGAAGAAATTAACCTTTTCAGCAGAAACAACAACAGCGACAAGTCCTGCCTTCCAGGTTACTCATTTCTTCGTTTCCGCAATAATATATATATATATATATATATATATATATATATATATATATATATATATATATATATATATAATGGTTGTTAAAAATCCCCAGACGGCACAATTTGTCAGTATATCAAAAGAAATTGGTACCCGAGAAAAAAAAATTGTAAAAAAAGAAAGAACTAGAAAAATCAGAAAAGGACAAAAAAAAGTCGTCCGGTGCCTTAAATTTTCAGTCCAAAGAAAAAAAAAAAAGCGAGTAACTAAGATAAAACCCTGAAGATCCATTTAGGCGACACCCAGGTCGGTAGTTCCTGGTAGTTTAGGATTTATTTTATATATAGGCACGGTGGGGTAATGGATTGAGGAATCGGAGAGCCGAGTTCGAATTCCAGTCAAATCCATTACATTCACTTACGTGCTAATACCCTTGGGAAAGGTATGAATCCTCTTCTTCTCCCTCCCTCTATGGGTAAATAGCAGGACAGACTGGGTTCTATAGCCTTGGATGGCAACTGGTCTAGGAGAAGGACAACTCTGAATTCAAAACCTGCGGAGGACCTTGTGGCACGTAGTGCAACAGGTCTCTGTATTCTGCCCTTCAAAAAGTGTGGATGGTCCTGCACGAAACCTTCACCACTATAATCAAATCTCATGTGCTGTTGTCGGGCTATCGGTTTCCTAGGAATTGATCTGCGTCGAATTCGACGGGAGATATATTGTAGCGGAAAAATAACGGATAATTAAAAACTGCGTTTTTTATATAAATAATTAATATATTTCTATGAAACTTTATTCACTGTTAGGCACATATATAAGGTACTAAATTCACTCGACGGGGCCACCATCGGCGGACATCACTTTCTGCAGGCGGGACCAGAAGCTGGAGCAGGCCTTGGTGACAACGTCCCTGTCTATGTTGCCCGTGGTGTCCCTGATGGCTACCTTGGGAGCCTCCTGAGTATTGTAGTGTCTGCTGTTCACTTCTCTATCCAAGAACCGACACAAAATATTTAGGAGGATTGCAGTCTAGCAATGAATGGGTTTGTGACGTACGGTGGCCGTTAATAATTAAGTATAACTCAAGACTCCAATGTTAAAATAAAACAGTATTTAGCCACAAATAAATACTTAACAAGAACAAAGTAAAAGTCAGCCAAAGATAATTAACCATTTCAGTGAATACCTTGTTAGTAGCGCGGTTCGGCTTATCGTCCTAAATCAAAACCCAAATCATCGATGCACAATAATTCACACTAATTCAACTGGATAGTTCCACTTAATAGACACTCACTGCAGTCAGTAGCCTGACACCGCTATTTATACACCTGACGGAAAATATATATTCATAAGTCCAGAGTGTCACGTTCGAACTTCGGTGTCGGTAGTTAATCGTTTTCTTCCTATATGACAGTGGGATGAAGTAAACACATACTTCTTGAGCACATAAAATTTATAATTCAAGTCTTCTTTGAGAATACGCCCGATTGTTTACCTGCTAGTTCTCATTTCTTTGGCGATTTTCCCAATGCTTTTTTTTTCTTCTTGACGAATTCGTGTCCTAATCGAGTCAGAGGTTGCTTCTTCTGAGTCTTGCGTTCTGACCTGAAATTGTCCTTTTTGTCATAATTCCCCATATGCTTTTGCAAGGTTGTAGACCATGGTTTTAGGATATTTAAACCTTTCAGTGATTTCCTTAGCTCTGTGTCCGTCGCGATGGCTCTCCATAACAGTAGCTCTATGATCGTATTTTGCAGACGTCTTGATTACTAAGCACCCGTTAAATCAATGTCCAAAAAAGCTACTGAGGTGTAATATTTTATATATATATATATATATATATATATATATATATATATATATATATATCGATTTAAAGAAAATGAATTTTTTTTGTATGACCATTTTTTTTTTTTTTTTTTTTTTTTTTTTGCAGGACCTAGGTACCTTTCGGCCAACGCTTCATCAGGGTCTTTCGTTGGCAAAATGATTTTAAACAAACAATGAAAATGAAAAGAACGCCAAAATGGTATGGTTGAACCGCGTCTAAAATTTTACGAAGATATATATACGTAAATTAAAATAAATTTACGATTAAAAACAAATGCGTAAATAATGAATTAATAATAATGAACCAACCTGAGCAGTAAAATAGGAAAATAAGTTGCTCATATATCAAAAAATAAATTTAGCGATCGTGAAAAATTCTCCTTTTGTTTAGAAAGCGATGGTTTAAATAATTTGAGGCAGATGGCTTCCAAAATAGACAGATGATATTTGGACCTGCCTACGCATATAATTGAAAACGAGTCCATTGTGAAACGTTTTGAGCATCACTCATTTTCTAATAGGTGTTGCCCGATCGCCGAATCGTGAGCTGATTGCGAAACACGACTGCGATTATCTAAATTTAATTTAATGTGTCTGGGTACATGTTGTCCGATTCTTGTTTCCAAACGAAGACATGTTCGCCCTATGTATTCAGCTTATATATATATATATATCATTTCTCTATTTACGTTGACTGATAAACTCCTACTACAAAAAAATTCATAAATTGCCACATTAGTAAAAAACGCTCTCACTTAAATTTTCAAAAAATCAACGTTAGCGTTGCGACTACACGCTCCACAAGTTTGTATCTGTTATTAATAACACACTTAAAAAAAACATATTTCGATTTGCATTATATTTTTTCAACTCGAATGCTAGGTGAATTTTACCAAAAATGTTTCTATACCTGATGATGACCGGAGAATATATTTAAGGAAGACTTAATACAGTTTATAATTTTAAAAAAACAAAGATCATAATATTCATTGGGTGGTTAGTGGGTTAATGCATCTTTAAAATTTAGCGAAGGAATTTCGCCATTTTATATCATTGACTTTACTAATTTACTTTTTGTATGAAGGATTCATTGTAATCTCTATCTATAAAAGGCAGTATGCATGGCCGCAATTTTCGACGGATTTGCACCAAAATTTACATGCACATACTCCAAGTTAGTGGGAAGGCCAAGACCGACTTTGCATTTCCCAACACCCATCGATAGTGAAAATAATCGATTTTTCCATGTTTCCACGGCAGTTTTCATGTAGTTTGCGGCCATTTTCTACTGGCCAGAGTGAGAGCCACGAATAGGCAGGAAGATTCTATTGGCCAGCGTGAGAGCCAACAGCTGACTGACACGAATGTTAACTAGCATGCAAAAAAATCGATAGCTACATTCGTCACAAGTGGAAAAAATTTAAATCTGCGTGGCACTTTACTCCAATTGGTTCATTCGCTTGCTTAAACTTAACGTTGATTCTGATTCCGCAGAACTGGGTTGGGTGTGAAAAAGTATTTGTTGTTAACATTCTGTTTTCATTCGGTTTTTTTCCAGTTACGAGTCCTTTTTTTTAAAGCTGATCGTTTTGTGTTCATTTTGAGTTCTTTTTTCGTAACAGATTTAATGTTTAGTATAGAGCTTTAAAAAAATTCGCAGTGTGAGATAGGCAAGAAGTAAGGCATGTAGCAACATCAGCACGGCAAAGGGCACTCCTTTAAAGGCAAGGAAGGGGGAAAATATTTTAAGTCAAGTGATAGCGATTGCTGTATGAGTCGTACGATTTTTGAATCAAGCACGGGCAACGCCGGGCCATGCTGCTAGTTTTTGAATAAAAAGATTTTTTTTTAATTTATTTCCTTATGTTCTTTTAGAGGGGTGGGCAAAAAAAAAAAAATTGTCACATTTTTTCTTTTCCATATGCTTGTTGTGTTCTTATGTTCTTCTTATTTCATTGTGCGTACGATTTTTGAATCAAGCACGGGCAACGCCTGGCCATGCTGCTTTTATAATTTAAAAAAAACAAAGATCATAATATTCATTGAGTGGTTAGTGGGTTAATGCATCTTTTTCAATTTAGTTAGCGAAGGGATTTCGCCATTTTATATCATTGAAGCTACTAATTTACTTTTTTGTATGAATGATTCATTGTATGTATATATATATATATATATATATATATATATATATATATATATATATATATATATATAATATACTTTAAAAAGAACTAGACATTTTCCTTATGAATTCTTGCGACTGACACTTCTTCAGAAGGATTCGTTGGTGTAATTTTCTCTCCACCTCCATAGTAAACTAAAACGATTAATGAAGGGAATTGAAAAGGGTGTGAAAAACTGTGACGTCGTTGATAGATTTAAAGATAGAGAATGTGTCATCAACGTTACGCCAATAGATATGGGTTACAGCTTTTTTCCAAAAAGGTTCTCATAATAACCAAAAATATGTTGGCTAGAACCGGACCCAGGGGACTGCCCATCGAAACCCCATCAATTTGGGCGTACATATTCTGATGAAAACGAAACTCCACCCCTAATTTTGATTTTTTTAATTCTGTCTTATTCTCAGATTGTACCGAATTGCTAAGAGATAGCGAGAAAAGTGAAAATGATCAAAAAAGATAACGTTCCTTATATCGGACAAGGATGACCGAAATGGGGAGGAAACTCAAATAACTTATACAGCTCGCGTTTTAAGAAACCCCGTTCAATAGAAAGACATAAGACAATCTTAATTTTAAGTAACTTCCGTCTTATAAATGAAAGGACGACACTTACATGATAAACCGGGCTGCAGAAAAGAACGCTTATGCCATAGCCGGACTGAACGTTTTATCTCGTCGATAATATTCCTGTGGTATCTATTTGGGAAATATTTAAATAATGATTTGACACCACAATATGAATATGCTGTCTTAAAAGAAAAAAAAACAAAAACAAACTTCAGACATTTTCCCCTTAAGAATTCTTGCGACAAACGTTTCTTCAGAAGGATTCGTTGCTATGATTTGCGAAGAGACTTAAGACGATATTCACAAGAACTAAATGGTAGAAGAGGAGGGGGGAAACTTTATTACGGAACACGGCTGAAACAATTTATTAGTAAAAAATAATTACCGAATAAAAGATAAATGTTCCAAGTGAGTATAAAACGGGTAAAGTATTACTCACGTCCTCCAGATGACCTTAGTCAGGTGGTAGACTGTTCTTTTTTTTTTTTTTTTTTTTTTGTTCGGTTACACCAACCGAATTCTAATAAAAACCACTTCTAAAATCTTCAAATGTGTTATGGGGTACACCCCTATTTTATACAAGTGGTCTCGACCAGTGTGTACTTGTACTGCTGCCGGTGAATACCTGGGAGTCAGAAGAAAGAGATACACTGATACAGTGAACAGTGAGAGTGAGAGTGTAAGGTAACCGCTTTGTAGGAGTCACAGTTGCGAGCACGTAGACTCAGAAGGAAGTCCTACTTCGATACTGAATTTCCCAGACTGTATATATATTATTATTGCTACTAACCGCATTTTTGGATCTACTAATCTTATTACCAATTGTATTGTGTCAATACATTTATTTGTTATATTTCATTCCTGCGTTTGTCATTCATTTGAGACCGGATTTCATCCCGGAATCCACAACAAAATGATGAGCGGACAGGGCTCTATGTAAAACAGTGAAACAATCTTGTATATATTGATGTGAACAGTAAGGGTTATCCAGAAGGAGATGACCAATTGCTGAATCGTGATAAAAAAAAAATGTCCGCTCATCTGCGTTTTCCCGTTTAAGGAATTTAAATTGCTGTGCTGTTCGCTCTCTGTGGACAAGTGGTCTGGTACTTTCAGCCTCCTTCTGATGTTTTTTTCCGCTATTGCTTCACGTTTTCTAGTGGAGAAAAATAACACCGAGATCGATACTGTGAACTGAGGTGTTGAGTTATTGATCTTCCGCAAAGCCGTCAAGTTCTCATAGCTTAGCAGCAGATGCTTTCAGATTTCTTCATATTGAAAGAAAATATTCGTCAAAATTAAGCATAATGGCGGAATTAACTGAAACTGGGGCACGGTACATGAAATTAGAACAACCTACCTCCGTGAAATAAATAAGGGATT